AAAAAAAAAAGAAAAGAAAAAAGAAAGTGTTGGCAAGGATGTAGAGAAATCAGAACCCTTGTGTACTATTGATGGGAATGTAAAATGGTACAACTGCTATGGAAAAACAACATGGTGATTCCTCAAAAAATTAAAAATAGAATTACCATATGATCGAGCAATTCTATTTCTGGTAATATCCCCAAGAAAACTTGAAGCAGAGTCTTGAAGAGATCTTTGTACATCCATGTTCATGTACATTATCCATAACAGCCAAAAGATGAAAGCAACTCAAGTATCCCTCACTTGCTTGAATGGATAAATGGATGAATGAATAAACAACATGTGGTATATATTTGATAAATATTATTCAACCTTAAAAAGCAAGGAAATTCTGGGACACCTGTGTGGCTTAGCGGTTAAGCATCTGCCTTCAGCTCAGGGTGTGATCCTGGAGTCCTGGGATCGAGTACCAAATCAGGCTCCATTCAGGGAGCCTACTTCTCCCACTGCCTTGTGTCTCTGCCTCTCTCTCTCTCTCTCTCTCTCTCTCTCTCTCTCCCTCTCTCTCTCTCTGTGTGTGTGTGTCTCTCATGAATAAATAAAATATTAAAAAAAAAAAAAGAAGAGAGGCCTCAGGTACTAGAGGAAGAGGAGAAAGTAGTGTTCCGTAAAACAAATGAAGAAAGTGTTTCAAGGAATAGTGTGATCAATTATGTCAAGTGTTTTGACAATAGATCAATCAAGTAAGATGAGGATACAAACTGACCATTCAACAACATGAAAGTCACTGCAGACCCTTCTAAGAGCAGTTCTGGTGAAGCGGCGGTAGTAAAACCTAATGATCTTGGGTTTACAAGAGAATGAATAAGCAGAGAGGATGTGAATCTATAGTAAATTTTATACAGCATGGATAAGAACAAACTTGGTACACTTGGAAAGCAATTTAGCATTACCTCTTTAGAGTGAATATTCACATACCTTGTGACTCAGCAATTCAACTCCTAGGTACAAACACAAGAAAAATTCTTACCAATGTACTACAATACAAATATGATAATGTTCAGTGCAACAATGTTAGTAATAGCAAAAACAAACCTAGAAATAATCCAAAAACTCACTGGCAGAAGAATAGATAAATTATGGTATATTCACAAAATGAAATACCATACAGCATTGAAAAATGAATAAATCACTGCTGTATAGAACATGAATCACAAAAAAATGTTTTAATTAAATTAAGAGAACATGGATAATGAAAACGTCATATAGAATGAAGGGGGAAAAAAGGCCAGAAGACTATGTATTGCAACAAGGCAATATGGTAGTAATTGAGAACATAGACTAAGCCAGACTGAGTTCAAATCCTAACTGGGCCATTCACCAGCAAGTGATTATTAAAACTCTCTGTACCTCATTTTTTCTCACCTGTAAAATGCAGATAATAATGATGAAATTGTTACAAGGATTAAGTGAGATAATGTATACAATTAAATAACTATATACATAGAACAATGTAATTTATAAGAAATTATTCTAGTTCTTGAGTTGGAAGGCAGGCTTACAGGTATTCTCTTAATATTATGCTTTATAATTGCACATAATCAATTTCACATAATCTTCTGTATTATCAAGTAATATACTAAAGATGAGAAAAGAAAAATAGGGGATCCCTGGGTGGCTCAGCGGTTTAGCCCCACCTTCAGCCCGGGTGTGATCCTGGAAACCTGGGATCTAGTCCCTGCATGGAGCCTACTTCTCCCTCTGCCTGTGTCTCTGCCTCTCTCTCTGTGCGTCTCTAATGAATAAATTTTAAAAATCTTAAAAAAAAAAAAAGAAAAGAAGAAAAGAAAAAAATAATGCAAGGAAATAAATGAGAGAGCGCAAGTACATGCAACTCTTGGATAACCCTTTCAAGATATTTTACGGTAAAGGGAAGAAGAGAAATGGGGCAGCAGCTGGAAGAAAAAGTGGCATGAAGAAAAACGGCTTTTTTTGATAAAAGAAATAATAGTTTGGGCCCCTGCCCGGCTCAGTCTGTAGAACATGTGACTCTTGATTTTGGGGTCATGAGTTCAAGCCCCATGTTGGGCACAGAGCTTACTTAGAAAAAAAAGAAAGAAAGAAAGAAAAAAATAATAGCTCAGTTATACATACTGATATATGATTACAAATATTATCAAATATTACCAATTCTCAAAATAACCCAATAAAATGTATCTGTACTTTAAGATGAAGAACTCAAGGTCAGAGAGACCCTAAGAAACTTGCAACTAGGCACACAGCTAATAATTAACAAAAGCCACAATTAAATTCAGATCTAACTCCGTATTTCACTATTTCTATAGAATACAATGCTGCCTTCCTTCATTTAACCTTAATTTAATGCCTAACAGTAGTTTAATTACATTTGTTAGGATATATATTTTTTTAGTGTCTACTAGATAGGCTTAGGAAACTGTTATCAGGTGTTCTGGAGGATAAAAACTGAATGATGCTACCTCTACCTTTTACAGAATATATACTCCAGTGAAGATAAGACCATCACCTAAATGATTCCAAAGCAATGCAAAATTATATAAATTATCCTATATGAAATACAGAATATTATAGAGACTTTGGGGGAAAAAGTCTTCTTGAGGGCTGGGAGGTAAAGAAATTAGGAGAAGCTTTATAGAAAAGGTAACATTTCAGCTGAAGTTGAGGGATAGATGGGGTTTTGAAAGACAGTTCTGTGAGCTACAGAACAGCCACAACCATGCCTTACCCCCAGGGCCTAGCATGCTGGAGCTGTTTAATGAATGTGGGTGGAGGGCACAAACCAACGGAAAGGCTATTCCAAAAGGAAGGGACAGCAAAAACAACAAAGGATCAGAGAGGCTGAATACTTGAGGCACAAAAAAAATGAAAGGATCGGAGAGAACAAGAAGAATAGGAACATATATATTTGGAAAATAAGTATAAAGTAATACAGGTAATTCTCTTTACATTTGGCTCCCATAGCTCCCATCTTTAAAAAAATTCTCTGGGGACGCCTGGGTGGCTCAGCAGTTGAGCATCTGCCTTTGGTCCAGGGCATGATCCTAAAGTCTCAGGATGAGACCCACATTGAGCTCCCTTCCATGAAGCCTACCTCCCTCTCTGCCTATGTCTCTGCCTCTGTGTGTGTGTGTGTTTCTCATGAATATATAAATAAAATCATAAAAAAATTAAAAAGTTCTCTCAATATTACCTCTATCTTCTTTCTGCTTTTATCTCATTTCTCTGTTCCCTATCTTTTTAAAATAACAACTTTATTGATATGTAACTTACATACCATGTAATCAACCCACCTGAAGCATAAATTCAATGGTACTTAGATCACAGTTTCACAGCCATCACAATTAATTTTAGAACATTTTCACTATCCCCCCCCCAAAAAAAACCCAATACCTATTACCCAGTCACTCCTCATTTTCCCCAACCATCCCCATCCCCTCTAGATGTAGACAACCATTAATCTCCTTTCTGTCTCCATAGATTGGCCTATTCTGGACATTTCATATAAATGGAAGCATAAAATACGTGGGCTTCATTAATGGCATCTTTGACCTAGCATAACATTTTTCAAGGTTCATCCATCTTGTATAATGTATCAGTACTCTTTCTTACTGATTAATAAAATTCCAAAATTTCCGCTGTATGGGTACATACAATATTTTATTTATCCATTCATCAGTTGGTGGATATCTGGGTGGTTTCCACTTTTTGGTTATTATGAATAATGGTGCGATAAACACTGGTGCACAAGTTTTTGTATGGACATGTTTTAATTCCTCTTGGGTATATACCTAGGACAGTGTTTAACCCTTTTTTTAAAGATTTTTATTTATTTATATTAGAGAGAGAGAGAGCGGGGTGAGGGGGTGGCAGCAGAGGGACAAGAAGACTCCCCACTGAGCCAGAAGCCCACCACCATGCTGGATCCCAGGACTCCGAGACCATGATCTAAACCGAAGTCAGGGGGATCCCTGGGTGGCTCAGCGGTTTAGTGCCTGCCTTCAGTCCAGGGCATAATGCTGGAGTTCCGGGATCAAGTCCCACATCAGGCTCCCTGCATGGAGCCTGCTTCTCCCTCCGCCTGTGTCTCTGCCTCTCTCTCCCTCTCTCTGTGTATCTCATGAATAAATAAATAAAATCTTTAAAAATAAAAAAATAAAAAAATAAATAAACCGAAGTCAGAAGCCTAATGGACTGAGCCATTCAGATGCCCTGTCTGCATTTAATCTTTTAAAGAACTGCAAAACTTCCAAAGCAGTTGCACCATTTTACATTCCCACAGTGTATGAAGAGTCCAATTATCCCACAGTGTATGAAGAGTCCAATTACTCCAGGTTATTATTACCTGTCTTTTTGATTACAGCCATCCTAGTGGGTGTGAAGTGGTATCTCATTGTAGTTTTGATTTGCATTTCCTTGATGGCTAATGACGCTGAGCACCTTTCCATGGCTATTTGTAGATCTTCTTTGAATAAATATTTAATCATATCTTCTGCCCATTTTTAATTGGGTTCTGCTCCCCATCTTAAAGTTTTTTTTTCCATTTAAAAGTAGTCATTGGGGGGGATCCCTGGGTGGCACAGCGGTTTGGAGCCTGCCTTTGGCCCAGGGCGCGATCCTGGAGACCCGGGATCGAATCCCACGTCAGGCTCCCGGTGCATGGAGCCTGCTTCTCCCTCTGCCTATGTCTCTGCCTCTCTCTCTCTCTCCCTGTGTGACTATCATAAATAATAAATAAAAAAAAATTTTAAAAAAAGTAGTCATTGGGGATCCCTGGGTGGCTCAGCAGTTTAGCCCCTGCCTTCAGCCCAGGGCGTGATCCTGGAGTCCCGGGATCAAGTCCCACATGGGGCTCCCTGCATGGAGCCTGCTTCTCCCTCTGCCTGTGTCTCTGCCTCTCTCTCCCACATCTCTGTGTTTCTCATGAATAAATAAATAAAATATTTTAAAAAATTAAAAATTAAAAAATAAAAGTAGTCATTTAGGGGATCCTTGGGTGGCTCAGCAGTTTGGCGTCTGCCTTTGGCCCAGGGCATGATCCTGGAGTCCCGGGATCGAGTCCCGCATCGAGCTCCCTGCATGGAGCCTGCTTCTCCTTCTGCCTGTGTCTCTGCCTCTCTCTCTCTCTCTTTCTCTCCATGAATAAATACATAACATCTTTTTTAAAAAAATGAAAGTAGTCATTTTATTAACTGACTAGATTAGAAAAATAATCATGGTAGATACCTTAGTTCATCCTTCTAATAAGCCTATTGATCTGGTCTTCCCTGTTGCTAGCATCTCCACCTTCTACAAAATGGGTGCTTTTTTCTTCATTCCCCTGTATGCAGAAGATAATTTGCAGGGTCATAAAAAGTTGTTTGCTTCTTTGAAACATTTTCCAACAGTATAGATCTCGTGAATCAGATCCTTCATGCAGACGATGCCATATTTACCAAGAGATCGGACAATCAATGTGTTATCTGTCAGGGCAATTCGCTTCTTGTTGATCTTGCCATAACCACGCTTGTAGATCAATTCATTCACTGACTTCAGGTTTGGGTACTCCCATGCTATATATGGTTCCACAATCCTTAGCATGTTAACTGAAGCCTTGTTAAGCTTAACAAAGGTGCCATTGAAGATCTGGCGAAGGCAAAGAAGCTGCAACACCTTTCGAATCTTTGGGCTCACACCACTGATACCTCTGATCCTGATGACAAATGTCAATTTGGGTTCTGCAGACACATAGAAGTTGCCAGCTTTCCTTGCCATCCTCGCCATTCAAATCTCAGTTCTGTATATCTGCCTGTATTCCTTGTGGTAATGCCTATCTTCTTCATAAATAAGCTTCCTCCTTGCCTTTCAAAGCATTGTTGGGGCAAACTTTTGTCTCAGATGCTTGATCTTCAACTCTATGGAATTCCTTAGCTTTTTCTTAAGGGTTTCTGGCACAGCAAAGATCTTCTTTTTCTTCTTTTTTGCACCCACCGTGGCTCTAGCCAGAAAAGAGGACTCTGCCTTAAAGTTCTTAAAAGATCAGTCTATATACACCATCTATACTTCCATACCTTTTTACAATCATACACTGTTCACTACAACCTCACTTCTGTTCCCCACTCTGAAATTGCTTGTCAAAATTACCAACCACCTCTGCAGTGACAAAAATCAATGGGTACTCTTCAGTCCTCACCTTCAGGGTAAAACTCTATGGTGTGCACATCTGTATTATAATTCCATCCAACCTCTTATTCTAATCTATATTTTATGTCATCCTGTTTCTTTTCTGTTTCCTGTTTCTATTTTTCTTATAGCATATTTTCTTATGGAATTAGAAATGCAATAATTCAAGGGTACATCCAGAAAATTACAGGTAGAACACCTGGGTAGAGCGGAATAAAGGAATGGAATCAAGAGGGGGAAGGGGGGGAGATAAGGAAAATTGGATAGGGGCACCTGGGTGGCTCAGTCAGTTAAATGTCCTATTCTCAGTTTCAGCTCAGGTCTTGATCTCAGGGTGTGAGTTCAAGCCCTACATTAGGTGCCATGCTGGGCATGGAGCCTACTTAAAAGAATTTGGGGGGGGGCAGGGGGGCAGCCCAGGTGGCTCAGTGGTTTAGCGCCACATTCAGCCCAGGACCTGATCCTGGAGACCCGGGATCAAGTCCCGCATTGGGCTCCCTGCATGGAGTCTGCTTCTCCCTCTGCCTGTGTCTCTGCCTCTCTCTCTCTCTCTTTCTCTCTCTGTCTCTCATGAATAAATAAAATCTTAAAAAAAATTTTTTTAATAAAAAAAAGGAAAGGCTGGATAAATAGTGGGTATTGGGCTAGGACATAGGCTTTGTTTAGCAGGTAATATATAGCCATTAAAGGTTTTTTTTTTGTTGTTTTTTTTTTAGCCATTAAAGGTTTTTATGTAAGAAATGCTCAGCACTAGACTGCTGGGATGTTGGAAGACTGCTCTAGCAGCAAATATAAAGTTACTGGCAGGGGGCGCAGTCAATTAAGCGACTGACTTGTTTTCGGCTCAGGTCATAAGCTCAAGGTAGTGAGATCCAGCCCCATGTAAGCAGAGTCTGCTTGTTCCTCTCCCTCTGCTCCTCCCCCTGCTCTGTGTTCATTCCCTTGCATGGTCTTGCTCATAAATAAATTAAAAATCTTTTTAAAAAATCCTTTAAAGTTATTTAGGGGCCAGGGGTAAGGGGAAGAGAACTAGGAGGCAAGGAGATCATGTGGGATACTATTAAAGTAAAGATACTATTAACATAAAAATAATCAGTAATGAGTACATAAATTAGTATAGTAGGGCTCAAAAGGGAAAGGAGGGATCAAAGGAAAGATATCACCACTAAACTTTAACCAACTAAGTCAACTTTATTACGGATAACAGAATAGCTGCCCCAGTCAAGAACTAAGAGTTCTGAGTCCTCAGTTCTAATAAGTTTGACTTGATGAAAACTAGTTGAAAAATATAGCAAGCATGCAAAAAAATCATCCTTCCCTGTTTAAGTATAAGCAATTATAGCATTGCTTCCCACTTTCTTCTCTCCTAAGTAAATACTTAAACTTCCAGGTAACTCCTGCTTCTCAAAGAGTGAAGATCTGACAATGCCCAACAGTCAGTTCTACTCTCATCACTGCTTCCAGTAACCCCCTCCTTCCCCCGCCCCACACTGATCTTCAATACATTAAGATCCAGAGGAAACAGAAATTTATGCAAAATAGGTTAGGCAAGGCAAATTATCCCAAGTTAAACAAAATCTCCTTTCTTTTTTTTTTCCACAGGAAATAGTTGTTGATGCTCTGAGGAGTTAAATTATAATAACACATGCCAGGAAGATGATGTCAGGGAAGGAGTGGTTAGACCCTTTACAAGTCTGAGATTCCTTTAGTTCCAAACATTTCCTCTTTCAGTCTCACCTATACTCAAATCTCTCTACAGAGGCACTTTCAAACACTGAAGAAAGTGTTGAGACCCTAGAACTCTGGTCCTTTACTTTTTTTTTTTAATGAACCAAAGAGTAATTGAAGGCCATTAAAATAGATGTTTTTAAAACATGTGCTACATTATTTTGCAGGAACAGTCTTTGAAATCTACGTTCCCCTTTTCTCTATTTTAATGCCAAGAAAAGAATAGATATTCAACACTACATACTGAGAAAGAATCTGCCTTTATTAGGAATTATACATTCGGAGAAAAAAAAGGAATTATACATTCATTTATTATATTCCTATATTAACCATAGCAAAAACAGTAAAAAAATGATGTCATGGACTCCTCAGGTAACAACTTTCCTGACAAGTGAAGTATACAAATATGCTTCAAAATAAAACAATTCTACTTTTTATTTTCTTTAAATTTTTTTATTTATTTATGATAGTCACAGAGAGAGAGAGAGAGAGAGAGAGAGAGAGAGAGAGGCAGAGACACAGGCAGAGGGAGAAGCAGGCTCCATGCACCGGGAGCCCGACGTGGGATTCGATCCCGGGTCTCCAGGATCGTACCCTGGGCCAAAGGCAGGCACCAAACCGCTGCGTCACCCAGGGATCCCCAATTCTACTTTTTAAAGTCAAGTAAATAAAATTAATACACTTTCAAAGAAGTTACAACACTGGTGTACAAATAGCTCTTCTGAGCTCACTGGCAATTATTTCTACTCCACAAGCTAGAAGTGATGACTACAGTAAATTGTGATATAAAAATTCTCCTTCATGACACAACTGGGTGGCTCAGTGGTTGAGTGTCTGCCTTTTGGCTCAGGTCATGATCATGGGGTTCTAGGATTGAGTTCTGCATCAGGCTCCCTGTGGGAAGCCTGCCTCTCTCTCTGCCTATGTCTCTGCCTCTCTCTGTGTCTCTCATAAATAAATAAATAAATAAATAAATAAATAAATAAATAAATAAATAAATAAATAAATAAATAAAATCTTAAAAAAAATCTCCTTCAAGAAAGCAGATCTCCACAAATTTTTATACCTAGATTTTTGTATAACATAATGATAGACAATCAAAGCAGCTATTTAGAATTTGTATTTTTCAAAAGTTTAAATTTTGATTGTTCTTTCAGTTTTTTAAATATTTTGGACAGGTCCAAGAACTTTATTACACAGACTTGATATACTTGAGAAACTGAGTTCTTAATAGAAATGGCAAATAAGCCAATGTCAAAATTAAAACTTAACCTGTTATAGAATAGTAGGATATAGGGGATCCCTGGGTGGCGCAGTGGTTTGGCGCCTGCCTTTGGCACAGGGCGCGATCCTGGAGACCCGGGATCGAATCCCACGTCAGGCTCCTGATGCATGGAGCCTGCTTCTCCCTCTGCCTGTGTCTCTGCCTCTCTGTCTCTGTGACTATCATAAATTAAAATAAAAATAAAAAAAATGAAAAAAAAAAAGAATAGTAGGATATATAGCCAAATTGCTACCAGTTTAATTTACTTGAGGGGTGGGATTTGAGTAAGAACTTTAGGACATGAAAGGAAGACTTAACTTTTTATTTTATATACCTCTTTATACTTAATGTTTTTTTTTTAGTGGGTATGTCTTAAATTTATTACTAAAAACAAAAGTTATTCTAAAAACATAACCTTAAAAAAATAAATAAATAAAAAATAAAAACATAACCTTGAGGGTAAGTTAAGCAGCTGACTCTTGATTTTGGTTCAGTTCATGATCTCAGGGTTCTGGGATGGAGCCCTGCCATGGGCTCTGCACTTAGCACAGAGTCCACTTGAGACTTGTTCTCCCTCTTACTCTGCCCCTCCCCTTGCTCTCTCTCTCTAAAATAAATAAAATCTTTTTTTTAATATGAAAAATGTAACCTTGAATATAAAAATTTACAAATTACATGAACAAATCCATCTACACCCTCTTCCTAAAAGAGAAACACATAAAGCATTACAGGTCAACACAATGTAGTAATGCTTTAAATATACCCAATATTCACCAGTCTATATATATATACACACACAAAGGAATCATCTATACAAAGTGATGTCATCAGGGCACCTGGGTAGCTCAGTAGTTAAGCAACTGCCTTTGGCTCAGGGCATGATTCCGGGGTCCTGGGATCGAATGCCACATCAGGCTCCTCGCAGGGAACCTGCTTCTCCCTCTGCCTATGTCTCTGCCTATGTCTCTGCCTCTCTCATGAATAAATAAATAAAATTAAAAAAAAGCAAAACTAAACTAAACAAAATAACCTCAAAGTGATGTCATCATAACAGTGACCTGTAAGAACCCACACAATTATTCTTCATTGCTTCTAAAACTTTTAAGTTATCAGAGGAAATATGAGATTTGAATCCAAGTCCACAATTATAACTCTTTGTTTGTCCCCTATGGTATCCCAGACTTAGAAGCTGGTTAAATGTTTCCTATACTACAAGATGGAAAGGGAGTAAAGACAGCTATGAGAAGATTTTAGATAGCACTAAATACATGAATCCCTTAGGAGGAAAAAAACTAACTTCTGGAATTCTTTTTACTTTATTTTAATGGGTCTGGGTAACCTGAGAGACTTGGAGAAAAAAAATTAAGGAAAGTTTCATACAGTACTACATAAATTTGAAAGGAATACAGAGAAATATTATTCTACCAAAATTATATATTCATATGTATGTATATTATTGATAACCAACAAACATATATGGACCCACATTTCTTAAGGATATAAACAGAATGAATACCATTATAAATTGACATTAAGGGATGCCTGGGTGGCTCAGCAGTTTGGCGCCTGCCTTCGGCCCAGGGGGTGATCCTGGAGAACCCAGATCGGGTTCCACATCAGGCTCCCTGCATGGAACCTGCTTCTCTCTCTCTGCCTCTCTCTCTGCCTGTGTCTGCCTCTCTCTCTGTATCTCTCATTAATAAATAAATAAAATCTTTAAAAAATAAAAATAAAAAAATAAATTGACATTAAGTGTTTTGGATCTAAACATTTACCCAATGCCCTGATCAGATACTCTGTTTAAATTATCTATAACAATATCTTTAGATATATGAGAAAGTAGCAGAATTCTCCACACCTTCCTATACTCCATCAGATGGACAAAAGATCCCTATACATCTATTACATCTTTTTTCTTCAAAAAACAGCTGAATGCCAAGACAGAGGGTAAAGGGTCTTTCTCCTACAGCATGAAGTTCCTCCTAATCAGCACCGTGTGCCCTGAAATGCCAAGAAACTGCCAAGGATATTCCCTACTGAATGTGGGCATCACTGTCCACCTCTCCTCATTAGATTGCCCATGAGTCCAAGCATATCACAATTCTCTGGCAACGGTGGGTTAATCACAGAGACTGCAAGGATCCCTGCAGAGCCTGGCTATCAGCAGAGGTCCAAGCACCAGCTCAGCAGCAGAACCCAAAGAATCACAGAACTTTCTGCCTTAATCCCAAGGTCTGTTCTAGTCTTGGGACTCCTTCCCTACAGACTGGGTGAGGTGGGGGTCTCTTCCTAGTCTAGAAGCGTATACCCAGTTCTTGATCAAGCTGTTGTGATTTCACTGACTACATATTTCAGCTACTTACCTGATAATGCTGGTAGAGTTAGGGTAGAAAGGAAGTGGGGCAGCAATAGAAACAGTTTTTCAAAAATATAAAAATAAGGTATGGGCAGGGGCCTGGGTTTGAGATGACATATTATTACAGGGGAGATGGGGTATATCAGCAGGAAGTCAAACTAACTTCATTTCACAAAGATACAAACTTACAAACTTGATTTGTTTTAATCCCCCTGCCTTTTCAGGCCTCACACACATGGACTGTAAACTGCTGGAACTTCAAAGCCAGGTGAGAAAAGATGCCAAAAGAAGTGGTGGAAAAGGGAGAGGCGCTGAGTGGAGAGAGGAATTCTGATCCCCTCTAACGAAGAATGTTAAAGCCAAGGGCACTCCCAGATCCCCAGGAAAGGAAGTAGCTGGATTCCAAAAAAGCACTTTTCCCTACCTTCTTGTTGTTCTTGTTATAGCCAAAAGTCGAAATCCCAGGCCTGGAAGTCACTGATAGCAGCATTTTCTCTTCAATGTAAGGGAGCTGAGAAAGAGAAGAGGGAGAGGGACAGGGAGGGGGAAGAGAGGGGGAAAGAAAAAATGAGAGGGAAAAGGGAGGGGGAGGAGAAAGGGGGAGAAAAGGAGCAGGAGGGAGAAGGGTGGGGGGGCGGGTAGAGAATGAGCTAGGGCTGCTTGTTTACGTCACTGAGAGAAGTTAACCAAGAGTCTGAATGAGGTACTTCCACTGGGTCCTAATGCCCAAGATGTTATTTTATTTTTCACAGTCTTGGTAGCTAAAGCAAAAAGAAAAGTTCTTAGGTCTACTCCTCTCCATTCCATTCCTTTTCCAATAAGAACAAGTTCTGATTCTCCTGAAAACACACCGAGGATTTTTTTTTTCCTTAGAACTATAAGATTTAGAAGAAGCTTTTAAGTTTGATTTTAAAGGGGCCACTAGGACGCACTGCCTCAGAGAACATGTGAAGCCAACTAACTACATTGAGAAAGAATATGTGAGATGAATTCAGGACTTTCCCCACACTTTATACTTACAGCGATCTTAATGCATGAAGAAGGAATAAACAGAAGAGCTCACCAAAGAGCAGAGACAGAATATAGGAAGTAACTAGTTTCAGATCCCTGGATAGTTCTATTCCTCTTGGGTCACACTGATGGGCTAATGCCTTTCACTCCTTTTCAGATTCCCCCAGGCATGATTTCATACTTATAAAGGAAATCTCAAACTGGACCAGGTCATGAAATTTGGTGTCTAGTGGTTTCTTTTCTTTTCCCTCTGCTTTACGGAGATAAAACTGCCTACCTAGCAATTTTTTCAACAATTGTAAGCTATCCTGTTTGACTCTTTATTCCACCATTTTCTAGTCTTCAAGGTCCATGAAGCTGAAACAATTAAGAGTCACTCACTAGGGATCCCTGGGTGGTGCAGCAGTTTGGCGCCTGCCTTTGGCCTAGGGCGTGATCCTGGAGACCCGGGATCGAATCCCACATCAGGATCGAATCCCACATCGGGTTCCGGTGCATGGAGCCTGCTTCTCCCTCTGCCTATGTCTCTGCCTCTCTCTCTCTCTCTCTATCATAAATAAATAAAAATTAAAAAAAAAAGAGTCACTCACCAAATCTGGAATTTGCGCCCAAACTGAAGTTCACAGAGTTGGAATCTTTGCTTCAAGTTGTCTCTCAGCTGTGGGAAAAAAATAATTTTTAAAAAGCATATGCTTCATAGAGAAGAAAATACAAAGTTCTGAGGGAAGAAGAACCTAACACAGTTGAGACAACACTCACCTCTAAAGTTTCAAAGTAATGTCCTGTGAAGGAGACTTAATAAGAAATTTGTAGGAAACTAAAAAATTCAAGAATGAACCCAGTAACTTCCTACCAATCCAAATGAAACAGGGATGTAAAATTAAAGCCTTCAAATCCCTTCTTCAGGTCACCTTGTGCCATCATAGATATTGTCTTAAAACATAAATTAACCCTGTTTGCTTTGCCACAGCAAACATTAAGCCCAAACCCTCCCTTAAATGAAGTCCCAGTCTCTATTCCAGTTTTCTGGTCACCTTTTTGCTATGATAATGGGACAGACAGCACTAACCATCTGCAGAGTAAACACACACACACCACATACCACCCCCAATCTCTGACTTTCATTTCCAATAGGACAGGAAGTGCCTGCTCAGTTCAAGGGACACAGGAAGGGTGGGAACAGCCTCATTGTGGGAATTGCAACAGAGACTGGAAGAACAGCAGCCAAATGTAATAAATAAAATACTAAAGGCATCTCTCAGTGCTACCATATTTTTTTTAAGTCCTTTTTCTGCCCTCAGAGATTCTCATTCATTATATGCCAAGTTATCCTTGCCATTTAAAAGGCCCTTAGCTGGGATCCTTGGGTGGCGCAGCGGTTTGGCGCCTGCCTTTGGCCCAGGGCGCGATCCTGGAGACCCGGGATTGAGTCCCATATCGGGCTCCCGGTGCATGGAGCCTTGCTTCTCCCTCTGCCTGTGTCTCTGCCTCTCTCTCTCTCTCTGTGACTATCATAAATAAATAAATTAATAAATAAATAAAAGGCCCTTAGCTGATTTTTTTCTCTCTTAGCCTAACAACGTGAAACAAAAACCTTAATCTCTAAGACCTGATTTATAACGGGATTTATGTCAGTCAACCTATTTTAATTTTTTTAAAATTGTAACATTCTCCATGTGCTTTGTTTTCCTACTTTAATCCTTAATGCTCAGTGATATTTTAGAATTTAAAATAGTTAGGGATGCCTGAATGGTACAGTCGGCTAAGTAAGTGCCCAACTCTTGGTTTTGGCCAGCTCATGATTTCAGGGTCATGGGCTCCCCCGCATGGGGCTCAGAGCTCAATGTGGAATCCAGTCGCGACCCTCTCCCTCTCCCTCTGCCACTCATGCACTCTGTCTCTCAAATAAAATAAATAAATTTTAAAGAAAAAAAGAATTTAAAATAGTTAAATCCATGAGTTTTAGAGATAGACAAACATGAGTTCAAATGCTGACACCATTATTACTTATTACTTATGTGACTTTATGCCAAGGTACTTAACATCTCTAATTCACTCATTTGCAAAATGGAAATAATACCTACTTCATTAGCCTTTGGAATCAAATCTAAGTTCTAGTTCAGTCCTGTCACAAACTAAATGACACAGAAAATTATCTCACACGTCTGAATCTTTTCTCATCTATAAAACATGGTAAATAAATAATATCTACTTCCTAAAATTGTAGGGAAATAAAATAAAACAGATAAAGCCTTAGGAAAGAAAAAAAATAAAACAAAGCTTTAGGAAAGTCTTTGGCATTTGGTAAACACTCAATAGATATGAGCTCCATTTTGATTAATTACTCTACTATCTCCCAGTGTGTATCCCCGTGGGTATTGTATAATCCAGATTGGATGATTTTTTAGCAAACATTTCAAAAAACTAGTATTTTAATTACATTCCAAAGTTTATACTAGAACTAGGCAAGCTAAACTTTCTTAAATTTTTTTTGTTATTTATTTATTTATTTATTAGTGTGAGACACACATGGAGAGGGAGAGAGACAGAGACAGAGACACAGGCAGAGGGAGAAGCAGGCTCCATGCAGGTAGCCTGACGTGGGACTCCATGCCGGGTCCCCAGGATCACACCCCGGGCTGAAGGCGGCGCTAGAACCGCTGCCCCAAGCTAAACTTTATAGCTGGAAATACTAGATAAGAAGTTTCAAGAATCACCCATCCAATTTCTTTTCTCTATATTCTATAAGCAAACAATCTGATCATTCAGAAATTCTTATCTTTGATCTGGAAATTGGTGGAACAGGGACACCTGGGTGGCTCAGTGGTTGAGCATCTGCCTTCATGCTCAGGGTATGATCCCAGGATCCTGGGATCAAGTCCCACATCCAGCTCCCAGTAAGGAGCCTGCTTCTCCCTCTGCCTCTGCCTATGTCTCTGCCTCTGTGTGTGTGTGTGTGTCTCTCATGAATAAATAATAAAACAAAAATTAAAAAAGGAGAAAGAAGAAGAAGGAAGGAGAAGAAAGAAAGAAAGGAGAAGAAAGAAGAAGAAGAAGAAGAAGAAGAAGAAGAAGAAGAAGAAGAAGAAGAAGAAGAAGAAGAAAGAAGAAGAAGAAGAAAGAAGAAGAAGAAGAATTGGGACACCTGGGTGGCTTAGCTGTTGAGCATCTGTCTTCGGCTCAGAGCGTGATCCCAGGATCCAGGATCCAGTCCCACATTAGGCTCCTTGCTAGAAGCCTGCCTTTCCCTTTGCCTGTGTCTCTTCCCGCCAGCCCCCCCTCGCTCTCTTTCTCAGGAATAAATAAATAAAATCTTAAAAAAAAAAAGAATGGAAATTGGTGGAACATCTCTTATCTCTAGAAAAAGAGTAAACAAAACAATACAGAATCAAAGCTCACTAGGATGGACACCCCAGCTCCCATTTCTCTAGAGTCCTACTACTCTAAGAAATAGAAATAGATCTAGAAAAAAGGAGAAAAAGAGATTTTCATAAATCCTAAGATTTTTTTTAAGATTTTATTTATTTATTCATAGAGACAGAGAGAGGCAGAGGCACAGGGAGAAGCAGGAATCATACAGAGAGCCTGGCGTGGGACTCGATCCAGGGTCTCCAGGATCACGCCCTGGGCTGCAGGCGGCACTAAACCGCTGTGCCACTGGGGCTGCCCCGAATCCTAAGATTTAATAACACTTCTCTTCTCTAAAAGTAGACAGTACATAAGTAAATTGGGAGATGGTGGCCGAGTAGGAGGACCCTAGGCTTGCTCATTCCACAAATACAACTAGGTAATTTATCAAATCATCTTGAGTACCCCAGAAATTGACCTGAAGACTGGAAGAATAAGCTCCATTACTAAAGGTAGAGAAGAGGCCACACTGAAGAAGCCAAAAAGAAAAAAAAAAGAATTACACCGACATATATTTAGTAATCATAAAAATTCTCAAAAATAGGGCAGCCCTGGTGGCTCAGCCTTCGGCCCAGGGCCTGACCCTGGAGACCAGGGATCGAGTCCCACGTCGGGCTCCCCACATGAAGCCTGCATCTCCCTCTGCCTCTGTCTGCCTCTCTTTCTATGTCTTTCATAAATAAATAAAATTATTATTTTTTAATTCTCAAAAATTAAATAGAAACTAAATCCAAATGGATTTCATGTTAGTGTGATCTGGGAAAATATTATGTATTCTAATAGATTTAAAGATACTGATTTTTTTTAAGATATTGATTTTCTTTAAAGATTTTATTTATTTATTTGTGAAAGACACAAAGAAGGAGAGAGGGAGAGACACAGGCAGAGGGAGAAACAGGCTTCCTGCAGCGAGCCCAACCTGGGACTGGATCCCAGGACCCTGGAATCACACCCTGAGCCAAAGGCAGAGGCTCAACCACTGAGCCACCCAGGAGTCCCAAGATACTGATTTAATTAAGGTTTTTGGGGATGCCTGGCTGCCTCAGTTGTAAAGCACATGACTCTTGGTCTTGGAGTTATGAGTTCAAGCCCCATGTTGGGTATAGATTACTTAAAATATATATTTTAAAAGTTTTTTTAAAGATTTATTTATTTGAGAGAGACAGAGACAGAGAGAGCAAGAGAGAGCATGCACATGCACAAGCAGAGGGAATAGGAGGCAGAGGGAGAGGGAGAAGCAGACTCCTTGCCAAGCAGGGAGCCAGATGCAGGGCTCAACCCCCGGACCCAAACCGAAGGCAGATGCTTAACAGAGTGAGCCACCCTGGCGGCTCTAAAAAAATTGTCTTAATTTTTAAAATAAAAATGTTAAAATAGAGTTTTCAATCTTAAAACTTTGGAGTTATCAGCTTTAAAATTAAAACTTTTAGAGTTCACCCTGGGATTGAGCCCCATGTCAGGTTCCCTACTCAGCGGGAAGCCTGCTTCTCCCTCTCCTCCCTGCTCGTGCTCTCTCTCTCTCCCTCTCAAATATATAAATAAAATATTAAAAATAAATAAATAAAACCTTTATTTTTCCTGTGCTAATAAAATAAAGTAGGGTTACTTGTCTAGCTTAGTCAGTAGAGCATGCAATTCTTGATCTCAGAGTTGTAAGTTCAAGTTCCACATTGGGTATAAAGATTACTTAAAAATAAAATCTTTAAAAAATATAAAAATAGACAGTCTATCATATAGAAGGGAGATAAAGAAGAATCCAGTTAAATAAATTTTATTTTATGTGAGCTAACACAAAACCTAGGTTTTTATAGTCTGTCTAATAAGTTCAGGGCCATAGAAGTAAAATGACCTAGGTTTGTGAACTGATGCTGACAGCTAATTATGTCAAAGAACACCAACAAGACCTCAAACTACGTCCTTTATTCTGGTAAATATATTTTTAAAGGAGGTTATGGAATTTTGTGGAAGTGATAGAGAATATAATAGAGTTCTATGGTTAGATTCAGGAGACACAGAAGAGGAGGAAGAAATCTATTTCTTCAGTGTGTTTGACACTCATGCCCATCTCCTTTGCCCATTATATTGCCCGTATTTTTCTAGATCTAGTCAATGCCTCTCAAATTCTTGATTCTCATGGGCCCAGCACTCAAGAGTTGTTTTGAGGGGAAAAAGTAAAATAGGAGTTTTTATTTTTATTTTTTTTTAAATAGGGGTTTTTAGAAACTTGTCTTGGAGAGAGACAACTGCACCTCTGATTCAAGATAGTCTGTTTTTTTTTTTTTTAATTTCTCCAGAAAAACACTTTTAAATAACTGCCTCAAGTAAAGGAGCTGGGGCTAGATCAACTCTGATTTGTATAATGAAAGATGTTTGCATGCAACTATCAGCCTCTCCACATCAGGGTGGAGAACCCAAAAGAATGTATTACCTGCAGATGTGCTAGACCCTAGACAGACATTCAACTGGAGCCAGGCTGATGTAGCACTATGCATATGAAAGCAGTGAGACAGAGACAGTTTGCTAGTGAATTTGGTTCAGAAATCTCAACAAGATATGTTAGGACCAAGGATGCTGCCGGCCCCCGACCCCCAGCTATTAATATTCTCTTGTGGATTATCTTTCCTCCCTTTGATTAACTTTTGTGCCCAAAGACTAGATAATGG